ATCAGACTTATGAAGTCATAAAATAAGCTGTCATTTATCGAGCCTGGTAACACCTGCAGAGTCATTGTTCTCGCATCTGATGAAGAGTTTTAACAGCTTTACCTATTTTGTGACTTGGTTCCTGTTTTCATTTTAAGAGGGGCGTGCATGTTTTATGTCTGAGATGAGACCATTGGGTCTGAAAGCTGCTTTCAGACGTGTTTTATTACTAGATGGGACAATCAGCTGAAACAGTTGAGGGAAGTTTGTTGACACTAAGAGACACTGGCGATGTCCATAAAGTTTGGAAGCCTGTGTGTTCATCATGTGCCAATAAACAAACAGCATTTAAGGTAATTAGCATTAATAAGCTATTAACGCAGATGGGACTTTACTGTCGCCCAGAATATTTGACTGAGGATGTTTTTCTGTTCAACGTCAGACTCCTTCAACTAAAACCAGGTCTGTAAAGCTGGCGCTACCCCGTCTTCATCCACCCGTTCCAGCTACAGCTGCTGCGTTCAAAGTGGACTGAAATGGGGATCCGTGCTGGGGTAACTCCCACAGTGGATCTGCGTATTTCCACTAGTACAGACTTTAACATGTTTGCCGAAGGATTTGTGCAATAACCAGATTTTAATTTTACCCCCACAACATGCAAATTCTTGATTAGATATTACGGCTTGCCATCAAATTTAAAGGAGACAAAGAATAAAACCAACATCTTCTTGTTTGTGAATAAAGACAGCTTGGGTGGTCAAAAGTAGCATGCCAAAAAATCAAAGCCGTGTGTGACCTACTTCTTGTGTATATTAGAAAGTTTAGAAATGCTAGAGCAAAACTTCTTTTCTGAGAAACCTCTTATTAAAACGTTATAATGTGGAGCCCTGCCTCTCTAATCTGCGGCCTCCAGTGTCTGAGGCCTTCTGGTTTAAATCAACCAATCAGCAAGCAGCTAATTAGCATATTCATGCCCTGGCCAAGTGGGAGGGGTAAACAGCTCTTTTCATAGCCAGGCTGATTTAGGGGGTTTAGAATGGCCTGGATCAGGGTTCCTGGGACAGATGAAAGCCAAAATAAAAAGTATTATGCTTCTTAGAGATTCAAAGCAGTGTTTTAGATTGTTGATAAACTGCATTTTAAAAGCTGCCTCTCGTTATTTAGGCTGTCGTTTTTAAAATCTGGCCATCCAAATGATGGCAGGATGGCTCGCTGGCTAATACTAGGGTGTCAACACATGATTTCTGCCTCAACATCAGGTACCATAAAGAGGTTCTCACATTTGCATGGTTGTCAGCTCAAAGCTTTATTTAACAAGTTTAAAGGTGCATAATGTAAGAATGACATAGTGTGGTCAAATATGGTTACTGCAGCCCTTTAAAAAAACAAGTGACCCTCTCACTCCTGTTCCATGAGTTTGATGGCTGTTGCTACGGCTCAGCACCAGACGGTTCTAGATGACGAGTCGCACAGTAATGCCTACTGCACGCTGGAAGCAAAAGCGGCCCGGAACGGCAGCTGAAAGTTTTACTCGCGACAATCACTGCACTCAAGTGCACAGCAGGAGAGTCTTAGATGTGAAGCGGCTTCTCAGCCGTGCTCCTCGCTTCACTCACGAGATCACAAAATCCCTTGAAACTTGCGCCAAACTCCTCCCGAGATCACACGATCCCTCGAGACTTCAAAGGTTATGGTTTGTTTACTCAATCTGCCATGAAACCAAAAAGAAATCAATCACGTTTTATATTGCTGTTTGATGTCATATATGATGATGTTCCTCTCCACTGCCAGGATTAAAGCCATGACAACGCACTGCTGCACTTCTGGAACAAAGCTATGAGTAAATAAGCTGTTAAGTCACACGTAAGCTTCATATATATGAAATTGCATCGCTGCAGTACTTTTATTTTGAAAATGACTAGGGATTTTACACTGAAACGGTGTGTTATTTTCCATCTAGCCCTACGTTAACTGCGGTGATTGATGCATCCCAGAAGTGGCTCGCGTAAAAAATACAACCCGATCCTATCTAGCGGCGCGGCTTGCTGCTTCTCGGGCGCTTCTGAACCTTTCTGCATCGCAGCAGGTTTTTTTTCTCAACTTTATTTTCATTTATTGACATTAAAATAAAAATACAAAACTAAATTGCTAAAAGCCAAAATGAAAAAGGGGACAGAAAGAAGAAAAACTTATGTTATCTGCCCCTTTTAACAAAAATAACATTAATACAAATGAAACAATCATATGATTCTTAAAAAAAAATTGAACAGTATAGTTTCCAGACTGGCTGGCCGACACAACCTCAACCCAAGAACCGAAAAAAGAGAGAAAACAAGTTACACAGAAAGAAGCACAAAGCTGTACACCAGGGGTGTCCAATCCTGGTCCTGGAGGGCCGGTAACCAGCAGGTTTTGTGGTTTTTCTGCTTCAACACGCTTGATTAGCTGGTTGAATCACCTGTGCAGCAGCTCATCAGGCTCTGCAGAAGCCTGTTAATCACCTGCTGATTGAAATCAGGTGTGTTGAAGCAGGTTAAAACAAAAACTTGCTGGATACCGGCCCTCGAGGACCGGGATTGGACACCCCTACTATACACATATGCATACACAGACCCGTTCCCCCTTTCCCCCCTTTTTTTTTCTTTTTTTTTTCCTTTCACCTCCCCAACCCCCCTCCCCTCACGCGTTTATGTAACAGATCTATATAAGTTAATCATAAGGAGGTTTGTTACACTCCATAGACTATAATGGCTTCTATTTGGACCGGTGCCGTTTCGCTACCGTTCCGCGCCGCTTCTGCTTCCAGTGTGCAGCAGGGGTACGTTAATTTGTAGATAAATACATTTACAGTATTTAATTCACCATTAGCATTGTTAGTTCAATGTTAGCCTCTAGCCTTCTTTACCCGTATCAAAGTAAGGGCCGTGATATACTTGCTGTTTGACCTCACGTTGGCGCAAGCAGCAGACTACGTCTTTGTTCACATACTTGCTGCTGCACAACACTGTACTGAACGTAGTACTGGGTTGTTCCACGAGGGGGCGCACTGGAGTACTCAAACCGGACAGCATTGTGGTTGTGGGTACAAAACCAACATGGCATCAATAGAAGAGCTCAGTAACTGGTTGATTTTGAGTTCATGACAGAAAAAGAGCAGCGGTGTCGAAGATGGTATGAAAGACCTCTAAATCAGAGACGGAGTCACCGTGTTGAGTGTGTCTCACTCATTTTGTGGACTTCACCTACTGGTTATTCGTATATTGCAGCGTTCAGACGCGTCACGGTCATTTCAAGGGAAGCGCACAAATTACTCTTCAAATCAACGGAAGTAACGCGTGGCAGCCATTTAAAACACACTTTTGCGCTGTCAAACAGCAAGTATATCATGGCCCTAACACAAAAAGATGCCGTGGCTTGTTAGGAGTACAATAAATAACTTGTGGGCTGCTCCTGTTACTGGATTAGGTTCTTTACAAAACGCTGCAGTGTTTTACAAATGCAGATGCAGCAGCATTAGCTCAGTGCAGACTTGACAACCCCGCAATGTAAACAATGACAACATACCTCTTTATCCATTTTGAAAGGAGAAAAATGACAACCAACCCAAGCCGGTCAAGGAGGAAATCTGTTTGAATGCAACATCCTTCCAACATGACTGAGACTGATGTGTGATTATCTCACAGTCAAATTCTTACATATGGTGCCTTTAGGGAACCTTGTCATTCAGGTCATTTCAACCAGATCAATTTGTGGAAACATTCAGTGAAAAGTGGCTTTAATTCCATTTTACCCAGACTGAGTGCAGACAAAACCTTTAGGTTGTGTTTGTGTAATAAATCCCTAAGTCCAAGGAGGTTCACAGACCATGTTTACGACGCCTGCCAGCCTCGTATACCTGAGCCCAGGTGTGTCAAAGCCGTTGTCATTGCTAGCTTGTAAGTGTCTTGCTTTTCTTTCATGTTGCCTTCTCTACTCTCCTCCATCCAGAGGCTTTTTTTCCCTCCACACTTGTCGCTTTTGAGTGGCAACCTCTACTTTATTTATTTTACTTCTCATCCTCGCCACTTGTCAAGCATCTGACTGACAAAAACAAATTTTCTTCCGCCGTCCATCTCCATCCTGCTGTCTTACCTCACAGCGACTCCTCCTGCTGTGTGTCGTGAGTTAGTGCCTGCTCCTGTTCCCAAACAATGCCTTCTCTTTTTTTTCCTCTCGCCACTCTTTCCATCCCATTAACCTTTCTTTGTTTGTCCGAATTTACAGCTTCCTCCCTAAACTCCGATCCGTCCTCTTTATAACTCAAGTCAAAGCAGAACTCTAGTTGGGCGGGCCTAAACGCCGCAGACTTACTGTAAATGTATCCAAATTACCATTGCCCTTGAAGAAAGTCAGGATGAGAGGATGAGGCTGCATCACAAAGCTCTTCAGATTCATCCGACCGTTTTCCTCCTCCAGGTGGCAGTGGAGCATCACGTATACACAACCCGCAGAGGAACAGGCCGGCGTGTGCTTGTGTGTTCTCTAGACCTGATAAATGACATTTGCATTAAGTTACTCTCCCCCACGGAATGGAAAACTCAGGGAACGACGTATTCTATCATCCTGCGATTTGTGTGATATTCTGCAAATTGAATATGTAAATAGCAACATCCTTTTTAATGGCGAGCATAATGCCTTCTCATTTATAGTCACATGTTCGGAGTGTGCAGATAAATGCAGCACCCATAACCTCACATAAATCAGAATACACATTTCTTCACAGATGCATCACCCCCATCGATCACAGGAAGTGAGTTGTTTTAATGTTGGAGCTCGCTGATAAGTATGTGCCACATGATTTACACTCCCCAGAGCCAGAAAGCTCCAGAGCTGCTCAACAAACTCCCTCACCCCCCGATAGCAGATCTGATACACGGGATCAAAACACGTCTGTGTGAATTCTACATGAATAAATCATTCACGTCTGTCTCACTTCATCTCTCGCTGTGCCTTTTCTTTCTCTTTGTTGTCTGTTATTGCAGGAGTTTGAGAAGAGGAAGATGTTGTAAAGTGTGCTCGAAGACGACCGGCCTCCCGAAACCGAAGGTGGACACGTCCTACAGAATCATTAAACTCTGGTTATTTCATCGACAAAGCGCACACCCAGTATTTCTATTGTAATTTCTGCCGTCGACTTGTACCTTGCACATGATTAAAGAATAAAACGTTAGTGTCTTAAAGGTACCGATACGATCTCGGTTGTACTCGTTCTAAGAGCGGTTTTCCTTTTCCTTCCCACGTGGGCACCAGCTGAAAGTTGGATGCCAAAGTTTCATTCTGTAATGCTGTAAGATGTGTTTCATCACCCATTTTACTGGCTGTCCACTTGAATAAGAAACACTTCTCATATATCATTTTCCAGCTGTGTTGTCTGTACTTTCACACAACGAGCTCGGCTATCTTCAGATTGTTATTTCATCTTTTTGGTGTGAAGGTTTTGCACAGATGAGAATACAAAAGGTGTCGAATCATCCCAGCACCTTGTGTGTGTGTGAATGAATTAGCTGAGCACTCAGGATGAAGATGGCTTTTCTCTGTGTTTTATTGTCGAAGCCACCCACATATTTTCTTCCTGTAAGCAGAAAAATCGCATTTTGGTGTAGTCCTGCTTTTGTCCAGAGCAGACATGCCTAAAAGACTTGGTGATTGTCTCGTTGATATTTCGTTGTTTATTTTAGATCTGGTTGTGGGGGTACAGGTAACTAATCCAGGGTTGAAGCTCAGACATCCCTTTCTCCAGCAAGGATCACACAGCGTTTCCAGGCCAGAGGGTGCATACACTGGCCAAAGAAATAAATCACTCTCCAAAAAAGGTCACACATTCTTAATATTATGTTGGACCGCTTTTAATTAGCGATTAATCACTTTGATCACAACACACATTTGCTGTGGTGTTGTTTCTATACGCTTGTGCAGTGTCATCAGATTTATTTCCATCCAGTGTTGCATTCATTTCTCACCAAGATCTTGCATTGATGATGGTAGAGTCTAACCGCAGCACAAGATCTTCTCCGTCGCATCCCAAAGATTCTTAATGGGGTTAAGGTCTGGACTCTGTGGTGGCCAATCGTGTGAAAATGACGTCTCATGCTCCCTGAACCACTCTTTCACTATTTGAGCCCAATTGTCATCTTGAAATATGCCCGTGCCATCAGGGAAGATGGAATAACCTGCTCATTCAGGATATTCAGGTAGTCAGCTGACCTCATTCTTGGAGCACATCCTGTTGCTGAACCTAGACCTGACCAACTGCAGCAACCCCAGATCATAGTACTGCCCCCACAGGCTTGTACAGTAGTCACTTCATCTGCCTCTCTTCTTACCCTGATGCACCATCACTCTGGAACAGGGTCCATCTGGACTCATCAGACCAGTTTTGAATAATGCGTTGTACAGTTCCTAACCCAATTTTGGTCTTAACTAGTTTACTCATAAATTGTTGCAGCTGAAAGACAATCGCCCATGCAGTAATTATCCAATAGGAGGCTTGTAACTGCATCTCTATTTGCTTATTAAATCCAGGTGTCGACTTTCTTTGCCTGGTCGGTGTATGTATCTCCAGCAGGTTCAGAGTCGTCTGGATCTCCTAGCGGGAAGTGTCCTATTCCTGATTCCCAAACCACCTCGTTAACTCCAGCTCTACTCTGAGCACCCCAATATGACTTTGCTCCTTCCCTTATTCCTAAGGCAGAGGTTTTTATATCGCATAAGTAATAAGGTAAAAGACAATAGCACTGATGATAATAAAAGAGACAATAAACAATGTTTCTTTTACAAAGCGCCTCAGGATAAAAATCATGAGGCGCTTCACAAGAATAAAAACTAAAATATAAAAACGATTTATTTATTTATTTATTTATTTTGAATGATTCAAAAATAGTTGTGATCAAAAAATGTAAGGAAAGGGAAATCAGTGGATCCTGGGAAAGGAGAAGTTGGTAGAAAGAGCAGAATGGAGAGGGTAGTGATGAAGGCCACACAAAAGCCAGCCCGAACAGGTGAGTTTTCAGCTTCTTTTTAAAGGAGACCACCGAGCCCACTGATCTCAGGGGGAGAGAGTTCCAGAGTCTGGGGTCACCTTTGGTCTTTAGTCTGGTGCGCTGCACAACCAGTAGGCTTCGATCACTGGACCTCAGGGACCTGCTGGAGGTGTAGGGACTGAGAAGATCACTAATGTTTGATGGTGCTTGCCCATGCTAGGCATTATCACACATGAAAATATTGAGAAAAATGAATCCCAACAGAGTTAACTAATCGCGCTTGAGTAAAAGTTGTCCTTTCAATCAAGAGTCAAGATCTTATCAGAGATGGTTGGATCATATTGTCACTTGGAGCTGTAATCTATCACTTCTGACACCAAGATACCTGAATTCCTCCAGTTTGGCATCGGCCTTGAAGGGGCTGCTTCACAATCAGCTGTGAACTGTTCCAGTGAAGACACCAACAGAACATCATCTGCAAAATGCAGAGATGATTAGACCCTCCTCTTCCCAATCCATCAGCCTAACAGAGTCCAGCCACGCTGGGAACAATTCAGACTCCGCTCCAGCTTTCTCTGTGCAGGAAGCCCGAAGCTTCTGAAAACAAATGTTTACGAACTGAACGTTTCAAGTTCTAGTTACAAAAGGTTTAACAACAGACCGACATCAAACCATCCTTAAACTGATCTTTAGTGAAAGAGCCGAGTGAAGGGAGCCATCCTCACTGATGTGTTGCTGAAGCACAGCGCTCATCTGCTAACAGCCATGGCGTTAGCTTCACTAAACTCTGAAATGTGTCATCAGCCAGGGGCTCTGTCCTGCAGGGATCCCTTTTTATATAATTGTTCACAGCTTGTTCACTCTGACAAGTCGTACGCCGACATCCTCAGTCACCTGTGAAAAGAGCTGCTCTTCAAATGTCATCAAATGTTCACAGTCTGCAGCACAACTGCTAATTGATGTCTTTTCTGTACATTTCACTGCTCATATTCAAACGTCCTTTGAGCAGTTTAATATGTCGCTGTCTGAGCTTCAGCGGCGACGCCCCTTTCTGTGATTTTGTGAAAAAAATCAGAAGCAACTGGGGCCTGCTTGTCATTTTCAAACATAATTGCTTAATCAAAACATGCAGAATGTGTTTGGGAGCGTTTGATTTAGTTGGGCTTCTTTGCTTTGTTTATCTTTGGTTGTCTTAGTTCCTCCGGTGCAGTTTTGCACCTTTATCTCCGTGGAGACAGCTGTGATCTCTCTAGGCGATGTTTCAGGGTAACCTTTCACCAGGATGACCCTAGTTCAACAGGACCTAAATTCCCACTTTATTACTGTACACAGGGTGAAATTAGCTCGAGTGGAAGGAAAAGGAAAGCAGCAGATAAGGTAACAGCTGGATCTGCCCTCACACGACCTGTTTAAATTAACACACAAGGAACAAAAGAGTGTAATGAAGCACTTAATGCTCTGCACTGGACATCTCTGCAGTCTTTTATATTATTATTCTTTATCTTCTCTGCAGCTGTCAGCCAAGGCCGATTATTCTGTGTACACACTGTTAACAATTACTTTTTAATCTGCATTAGTGAACTGACATAGTGACTGACTGGAACAGAGAGATTATTAGTTTATAGGCTCTGAAGTTGTCACGCTGGGTTCACTTTTTTGTTTTGACTCAAAATAAAAACCAAAGTTCTGCTTTTCATGTCGCTGATTAATCATCACAAATACAATTTACATATCTAACAGCTACTGTCACTCAAGCTTCAACGCTTGCTTTTGTCTTTTGACATCCAACTCAACAAATTAAAGCAAGTTGCAATGACCGTTGGAAATAACATGGGTCGATTGTTGTCTCCCTGCATTGATCCGGTTCTGGTTTGGTGAAGAGGTCGATCACCCAGGCACCTAGAAAGCAAACCTCATGGGTAACTTACCCTGCTGCTGGATGTAGTTTCTATGGTTGCCATGGACACAGAAGAGAGAGTCACGATGGTGTAAAGTGAAAAAAGGTCAGCTGTTACAAACATTGACAGAAGCAGCCAATCCAGCCTGCTGCAGCAGTCCAGATTCGAGCCATGCCTTTGAAATGGGCAGCAATTTGTATGCTAAGTCGGCTCTGGAGGTGGTTCTTACTGTCACAACGAGGGTAGTTTGTAATGAGTGCAAAATCACATCCAGTGGCCGACTTTTTTCTATTACTACTCCAATGCAAACGTGTTACACTGCATAGACTACATGTAGCAAAAGCTATTCTTTATATTTAAAGCACGATCGTGCATTTCAGGTGATGTGTAGAGTTCAAATAATAAAATGAAGGGATTTTCCAACCAACTTGATGTTGTAATGAGGAAAATAATGAGACAGGTTTTAATGAACACACAGTTTAAAGACAATCAGTATTCCTGATGGTACACTAATAAGTAAAGTAGTCTAACATCAGTAAGTGCCATCATCTGTTGGTCCTGCAGCCTGCAAAAGCAGCATAAGGAGTTTTGTGTTGGATGTGGGTAAGTGACTTAGTTCAGACGTAATATCCATCTCCTACCTTTTTTTTAACAGCAGGTGAATTTGACATTATAATGTGAAACAAAACAACTCATAATTTGAGCCTCTGATATTCTTTTGCAGCCAACAGAAGGATAAGTGGTTAGGATCCATCAACAACAGGGTTTCCGAAGCACTGGACCAAGGATCTGCAGCAGTCTAAATGTTTGGTACTGGGCTGCACTCCAACAATGAAAACTCCCTTTAAAAATCAGTTTGCTACATTTTTGTATGCAATGGTCTGCAGAGATTTTTTCTATTGAACATGAATATTTTATATTACAGTGTGATGTCAACAGAAGCAGTACATTATTTATGCAGTATTCTGTTTTATTATGTTCATGTTTATTCATTTAGCAGACACTTTTATCCAACGCGACTTACAATTCATAACCTATAGGGCATGTTGTGATCTGTGGAGGAAACCAGAGTACCCGGAGGAAACCCACGCACGCATGCATGGGGAGAACACGCAACTCCACGCAGAAAGGCCGCAGCCGAGTTTCAAACCTGCAGCCTTCGTGCTGCGAGGCAACAGTGTTAACCACTGCGCCACCATTATGACCTTCTGTAAGGTCAGCTCTCACGCCGTGTTGAAATGCGCTGTTTGAAATTAATTGGTATATTATGGTATGGTTGTATTTAAAGTACACGGGGAACTCCAAAAATGAGAGCATGCTGCAAAATTCATTTATTTCAATAATTCACGTTTAGACTGAGAGACCATCTAAAGCAGGGGTATTCAATTCTGTGCCTGGAGGCCAGTATCCAGCACGCTTTAGAGGTTTCTCTGCTCCAACACACTCAATTCAGTGGCTGAATCACCTGTGCAGCAGCTCATCCGGCTCTGCAGAAGCCTGTTGATCACCTGCTGATTAAAATCAGGTCTGGTGAAACGGCGTTAAAACTAAATCCTGCTGGATTTTGGTCCTCCAGACCCAGAATTGAATACCCCGAT